ACAGCAGGGGTGCCCAACCAGTCGATCGCGATCGACCGGTCGATCGCGGGGAGATTCCCAGTCGATCGCGAGATGTGTTTAAAAATAGAACAACAATATTCAGTTTTATCGTTAACGTCCTATAACATAATCTTCCTGTGCCAGAATAATGCACTTGAACGCATCAAAGCTTTGTGATTGGCCAGCGTGACCCCATGTGTCGGAGCGTGGCTGGTGGGCAGTGGGCACTAGTTCGCTGACATTGTCCGTGTCAACAGGAGTGACAGTCCGCACACACACAAGACCGCAATTATGGCAGAAGCAAGAAAGCCCAAAATATATAATTTTCACTCCGAGTGGGAGGATCATTATTTTGGTATCTATTCCAATTCAAAGTCCATCTGTCTCATCTGCAATGCGAGCGTGGCTTTATCGAAGAAGGGTAATTTAGGAGCGGCATTTCAAAACAGTGCACAAACGCTACGAGACGGAATTCCCTCCTAATTCTGCCCTACGCTCCAAAAGGGGAGGGGCCTGAAAGGACAGCTAAATGCACAGCAGTCCATTTTCACCAGGCCCAACAACAAGAGCAAGGCTGCTACCATAGCATCGTATCGTGTCAGGCACGTTCTTGCGAAACACATGAAGTCTTTCAAAGACGGCGAAGTTGTGAAAGAATCATTCCTGGAGGCTGCCGATGCGCTTTGGGGACAGTAAAAATAACAGAAGCATTTCAACAGGTTTTTGATCAAAACTCAAGTTAGATACCGTTATTAATCAGCTGTAAGTTTTAGTTTGTTTGAACTTATTCATTATAATTATTGTACAAAATGGTATAAGAATGCAAACTTAAATTGATTATAGTCTATTATCAATTCAGGTTAAGAAACTAGTGTTGCTTGCATCCTATTTTAAAAGGCATTTATTTTTATAATCTACTAAATGCAACAAAAAAAGGGTTTGATTCTATTAATTTTGTCTTATTTAATGCACTTTGGCAGCAGATTCCTGTGTAGCTTCAGATCTGAGTTGTCTTATTAGTAAGCCTCATTTATACTTTTGTAGCAACACTATTTTTATATAATGGCAAAGAAAGAGTTCTTTTTTTCCTGAGTCATATGTGGCAGCACTGTTCAATGTTTCTTGAAAACATTACCCACTGTAGTGACGTCTGAATAAACTCCAACTCTGTATCAACAACACTGTTGTGTAACTTCAGTTAAATACTTGTATGTGTGTAGATTAGAAAGAGGTAAGATAAAGGATCTGCAGTATTTTATGAAGTATTCATCGTACAAAGGTCAGTTTTATACAAGTAGAAGTGTGTATTTACCTGGTAGTAGGCTGTCAGTAATGGCTACGCCTCTCTATTTGGACTGGTAGATCTCGGCAGACTGGCAACTTTAAAAGTAGCTCTCGGTTCAAAAAAGGTTGGGCACCCCTGACTTACAGCCAATCAATTCTGAATTATGTGAGATGACGTATGGTGGGGATGGGAGCACTATGCCCCTACGGTCATTATTTTTTTGCCACACACATTAAATAGAAAAATACTCTGAGCATGCGCAGTGTAGTTTTTACAATCACCGTTCACTTAGACTGTGAGAGGGAGGGGCAGGATCGGGTTTTGTCCCACATGGCTCCAAACAGCTCAAAACGGCACTCTAGACACTAATTAGAAGAACACAGACTAAAACAGAAATGTACAGACGAATCAGATTATTAAACATGACCTTAAAATATATTTTATATGTTTTTTTATTTATTTTTTAGTATTTTTTTGTAATCATTATTTGTAATACTTTCTTCTGACACTAGGTGGGGCTGTGCCCCTAATGACCCGCCGCCACTGGAAATGTGGACCCACGGCCCAATCAGAAACGTTGCTATCAGAAACAATGCCCGACTGTTTTGGACGTAATATGGTCGGTGTTTACATTAGCATCGCTAACACTTAGAGCTAACCTGTACTGGAGAGCATGTGTGTGAAGAAGCAGGAAGTAAAAAGGAACTCACCTTGTGGTATAACCGGCAAGAGAGAAAGCCTTTGAGCTCCAAACTGTTTCAGAGAGAATCCTTGATAATCCATGATATGGCGTTTCATCACGGCAGCATTTAGTTTAGACGGTAGCTGCCGGGTCCCGCATGAGCTCCGACCCCTCCTAAAGCTTTATACCCAAATCAGCACTTTAGAAACAGGAAGTGAAATAGAGGGATATGAGGAATGATCCGTTTGGTATTTTGAGCAAAACACTTCAAAGACATGCTTTTTATATATTTGTATCTGAGACCTATGCTATTGCCTAAAAATAGCATGATAGGTGACCTTTAAGGTTTCTACATGAAATAATTCTACTCTTTAAGCCCCATCTAATTTAAAAGTGTTGATATAATAATGCAATTGCAAGTGTGAAAATACTGCATTGAATTTAGATTATTAGGGTCTAAACTAAGCATTTAAAATGGCTAAGTGTTGACTTATTTCTAAATAACTTGTAAAGTATTAATGTAAAAATATATAATAATGCAATTGCAAGAATTAAAGTCTACAAAGTTCCTTTATAGAGCAATCAGTAAATAGTGTCTTATTTTATTAATACTGGTATCTGAGGTCCAATGCTCTGTCTTTTAACTTCTTTCTCTCTCTTCATCCTTAGTCATTATAGTGCTTAACATTGGTCTGTACTACTATCAAATGTACCTCCAAAATGTCAGAATTGACCAATCAGAATCGAGTATTCAACTAAGCCATGTATATAAATATCAATACATTTCAAAGAGTATATCAAGTATATTCTGCACCTTGAATATTAGGCAAGGCAAGGCAAGGCAAGTTTATTTATATAGCACTTTTCAACACAAGGCAATTCAAAGTGCTTTACAAAAAATGAAAGAGATTAAGAAAATGGCATTTAAAATCAGTCATTAAAAAGAAAAGCTAATAAAATAAACATTAAAAGAAAAAATACATGGATAAAAGTTACAGTGCAGTTTAAGATGTGAATAGTTCAATTAAAAGCAGCGACAAAAAGTAAAGTCTTCAGCCTGGATTTAAAAGTAGTCAGAGTTGCAGCGGACCTGCAGGTTTCTGGGAGTTTGTTCCAGATATTTGGAGCATAATAACTGAACGCTGCTTCTCCATGTTTAGTTCTGACTCTGGGGACAGAAAGCTGACCAGTCCCTGAAGACCTGAGAGATCTGGATGGTTCATAATTTAGCAGGAGGTCAGAAATGTATTTTGGGCCTAAACCATTCAGTGCTTTATAAACCAGCAGCAGTATTTTGAAATCTATTCTTTGACACACAGGAAGCCAGTGTAAAGACTTCAGAACAGGAGTGATGTGATCCACTTTCTTAGTGTTAGTGAGGACTCGAGCAGCAGCGTTCTGAATCAGCTGCAGCTTCCTAATAGATTTTTTAGTGAGACCTGTGAAGACACCATTGCAGTAGTCCAGTCTACTGAAGATAAAAGCATGGACAAGTTTTTCCAAATCCTGCTGTGACATTAGTCTTTTAATCCTAGATATATTCTTTAGGTGATAGTAGGCTGATTTAGTAACTGTTTTAATGTGACTGTTGAAACTCAGGTCAGAGTCCATGACTACACCTAGATTTCTGGCTCTATCTGTTGTTTTGAACATTGCAGACTGAAGCTCAGCGCTAACTTTTATACGTTCTGCCTTGGCTCCAAAAACCATTACCTCAGTTTTATCTTTGTTTAATTGGAGAAAGTTCTGACACATCCAGTGATTGATGTGTTCAATGCACTTACTCAGTGTTTGAACTGGAGCATAGTCTCCTGGTGAAATTGTTACGTAAATTTGTGTGTCATCTGCATAGCTATGGTAACTTATTTTGTTGTTCTTCTGTTATTACGTATTTTCCAGACAGTTTTTTTTATCCCAAATGTTATTGTAATTATCAAAATAGTGGCAGATTATTTTTCTGACGGTGGACTAATTGTTTCAGCTCGAGTGGAATTTTTTCGTCTGCTTTTCCTCGATTCAACACTAGGGGGAGTAGAGAACCAGAAGTAACTAAAGATTAGGGTGTAAACTAAGCATTTCAATTGTCTAAACGTTGACTTATTTCTTATTAACTGATAGCATTACAACTTGTGCACCTCTTACTCCTCTGAAATGTCCCAACTGACCAATCATAATCAAGTATTTCACTAAGCCATATCATTAATATTATCAATAAATGTCAAAGAGTATATATCAAGTATATTTTGCACCTTGAAAATTAAGTATTTTCCAAACTTTAAAGGTCCCATGTCATGCTGTTCCGGTTATCACCCGTCCCCTTGTGTTATGAAGGTTTTTCTGCAGAGTCAAAACCCTCAAAGTGCACCCTGTAGCGAGTACAACACACACACACACACACACACACACACACACACACACACACACACACACACACACACACACACACACACACACACACACACACACACACACACACACACACACACACACACACACACACACACACACACACACACACACACACACACACACACACACACACACACACACACACACACACACACACACACACACACACACACACACACACACACACACACACACACACACACACACACACACACACACACACACACACACACACACACACACACACACACACACACACACACACACACACACTGGCTGAGGCTGAGTTTCGCGCTGTCTCGCAGACCCCATGCAGCAACCAGGAAACGACACCAGTAGTAGAGCTCACACTGTCCCTCCATATTCTATTAATTCAGTAACTCCACCTCCCCCACATGACATGAGCCACCTCCAGCTTTTTATCCCAAATGTTGTTGTAATTATCAAAATAGTGGCAGATTATTTTTCTGACGCTGGACTAATTGTTTCAGCTCGAGTGGAATTGTTCCGTCTGCTTTTCCTCGAGTCAACACTAGGGGGAGTAGAAAAGTCAAAACAAGTGTTCTCCGTCAGCAACAAAAGATGGAGGCATCACAAGAGGAAATAAATTCAGCCGATTCAAAGTGTTTTCATCTCTACCTTTTATTCCTCCTGAGTGCCAACGTCACGAACTCATCATCAGTCCCTCTCCTCAACATATTTACAAAAATATTAATCTTTTTACATTTTACATTCATTCAGTTACTCCTCCTCCGCCACATGAGCCACCTCCACCTCCATCGTCTCGATCACCTCTCCCACTTCTTCCTCCTCCTCCTCCCTTCCCTCCTCTTCCTCCTCCTCCAGCTTGGGGTCTGTTAGCCCCTGCTGAGAGAGGACGTAGTTCACCACCTGCATGATGCCCTGATCCGACAGCGTGGATAACGACCCGTCCGTCACCGCCTGCACCGCCTCCACCGTCTCCTCCGTGATCAGCACCGTCTCGATCTCCTCGGCAGGCGGCTGCCGGGCCGGTCTCAGCTCTGGAGGCAGCTCGGAGGCCAGGATGCTGACAGCGTGCTCCACCTGAAGGTCAACGTCAACTTTAATGTCAATCTTTCAGGTCGTGTGTACAGACAGAGAGCTCGAAATACTGTTTCCCACAATCCCGAATACACAAACAAATATATATAAAGATATGTATACAAATATGTATATACCCAGAGATGGCAAAAGTACACACATCCTTTACTCAAGTAGAAGTACAGATACTTGTGTTTAAAAATACTCTGGTGAAAGTAGAAGTACTGACTAAACTTCTTTCCTCAAGTGAAAGTAAAGAGGCTTTGAAATGTACTTCAGTAAAAAGTACCCATAACTAGCAGCTGCTTTAAAGAGTACCTGACCTCCCTTTATATTAATAGAACAATAATGTCATTGTTAGCTAATGAATGTTTCCATGCTGAACAACGGCAACATGACAACGTTTCCATTGGTCCCTCTTCTTTAGAGAAGAGCAGGAAATGATGGATACACGGATCGTGTTCAAATCAATAGGCACGCAATGACTCTAAAGAATAATGATCACGCATCAAACACACATTCAGACTAAAGGAACCAGCTGTTTGGAAAATGAGAGAAGTAGAAAGTACAGGTATTTGAGTTCAACATGTAAGAAGTAGAAAGTACAGGTATTTGAGTTCAACATGTAAGAAGTAGAAAGTACAGGTATTTGAGTTCAACATGTAAGAAGTAGAAAGTACAGGTATTTGTGTTCAACATGTGAGAAGTAGAAAGTATAGGTATTTGAGTTCAACATGTAAGAAGTAGAAAGTACTGGTATTTGTGTTCAACATGTAAGAAGTAGAAAGTACAGGTATTTGTGTTCAACATGTAAGAAGTAGAAAGTACAGGTATTTGTGTTCAACATGTAAGAAGTAGAAAGTACAGGTATTTGTGTTCAACATGTAAGAAGTAGAAAGTACAGGTATTTGTGTTCAACATGTGAGAAGTAGAAAGTATAGGTATTTGAGTTCAACATGTAAGAAGTAGAAAGTACTGGTATTTGTGTTCAACGTGTAAGAAGTAGAAAGTACAGGTATTTGTGTTCAACATGTAAGAAGTAGAAAGTACAGGTATTTGTGTTCAACATGTGAGAAGTAGAAAGTATAGGTATTTGAGTTCAACATGTAAGAAGTAGAAAGTACTGGTATTTGTGTTCAACATGTAAGAAGTAGAAAGTACAGGTATTTGTGTTCAACATGTAAGAAGTAGAAAGTATAGGTATTTGAGTTCAACATGTGAGAAGTAGAAAGTACAGGTATTTGTGTTCAACATGTAAGAAGTAGAAAGTACAGGTATTTGTGTTCAACATGTAAGAAGTAGAAAGTACAGGTATTTGAGTTCAACATGTGAGAAGTAGAAAGTATAGGTATTTGAGTTCAACATGTAAGAAGTAGAAAGTACAGGTATTTGAGTTCAACATGTAAGAAGTAGAAAGTACAGGTATTTGTATTCAACATGTAAGAAGTAGAAAGTACAGGTATTTGTGTTCAACATGTAAGAAGTAGAAAGTATAGGTATTTGAGTTCAACATGTAAGAAGTAGAAAGTACAGGTATTTGAGTTCAACATGTAAGAAGTAGAAAGTACAGGTATTTGTATTCAACATGTAAGAAGTAGAAAGTACAGGTATTTGTGTTCAACATGTAAGAAGTAGAAAGTACAGGTATTTGTGTTCAACATGTAAGAAGTAGAAAGTACAGGTATTTGAGTTCAACATGTAAGAAGTAGAAAGTACAGGTATTTGTGTTCAACATGTAAGAAGTAGAAAGTACAGGTATTTGAGTTCAACATGTAAGAAGTAGAAAGTTCAGGTATTTGAGTTCAACATGTAAGAAGTAGAAAGTACAGGTATTTGAGTTCAACATGTAAGAAGTAGAAAGTTCAGGTATTTGAGTTCAACATGTAAGAAGTAGAAAGTTCAGGTATGTGTGTTCAACATGTAAGAAGTAGAAAGTACAGGTATTTGAGTTCAACATGTAAGAAGTAGAAAGTACAGGTATTTGAGTTCAACATGTAAGAAGTAGAAAGTTCAGGTATTTGAGTTCAACATGTAAGAAGTAGAAAGTTCAGGTATTTGAGTTCAACATGTAAGAAGTAGAAAGTACAGGTATTTGAGTTCAACATGTAAGAAGTAGAAAGTACAGGTATTTGTGTTCAACATGTAAGAAGTAGAAAGTACAGGTATTTGTGTTCAACATGTAAGAAGTAGAAAGTTCAGGTATTTGAGTTCAACATGTAAGAAGTAGAAAGTTCAGGTATTTGAGTTCAACATGTAAGAAGTAGAAAGTACAGGTATTTGAGTTCAACATGTAAGAAGTAGAAAGTACAGGTATTTGAGTTCAACATGTAAGAAGTAGAAAGTACAGGTATTTGAGTTCAACATGTAAGAAGTAGAAAGTACAGGTATTTGTGTTCAACATGTAAGAAGTAGAAAGTACAGGTATTTGAGTTCAACATGTGAGAAGTAGAAAGTACAGGTATTTGAGTTCAACATGTAAGAAGTAGAAAGTACAGGTATTTGAGTTCAACATGTAAGAAGTAGAAAGTACAGGTATTTGAGTTCAACATGTAAGAAGTAGAAAGTACAGGTATTTGAGTTCAACATGTGAGAAGTAGAAAGTACAGGTATTTGTGTTCAACATGTAAGAAGTAGAAAGTACAGGTATTTGGGTTCAACATGTTAGAAGTAGAAAGTACAGGTATTTGGGTTCAACATGTTAGAAGTAGAAAGTAAAAAGTGGTCAGAAAAATAAGTAGTGGAGTAAAGTACTGATACCAGAAAAAAGGAACTTAAGTACAGTAATGAAGTATTTGTACTCCACTACTTCATTTACTTTTACATAAAGCACAACAGTCACTATATACAGAATAGCAGTCACCTGAGTCCCCTGGTTGTGAAACTGCAGCGTATCTTTCTCCAGCATGATCTTCCCCGGCAGGTTGTCTCCGTGGTATTTGGCCATGTGTTTCCTCAGCGTCCGGGCGTCGATGTGCGCCTCCTGGCACATCGGGCAGACGTACGGGCGCTCGCCGGTGTGCGTGCGGACGTGGCGCTTCAGAGAGCGAGCGTCTGCCCACGCCACGCCGCAGGTAAGGCACTCGAAGGGCTTCACACCTGAGAGGGAGACGGAGGAAATGTAGCTGTAGATGGAAACTGATGGATTTATTTCAAGATCTTTTTATTCGTTTTTTTGCTGACGAGACACTTTCAGCACATTAAACTAAGTAAAGAACCATTTCTCTGATAAAGCAAAGTCTATATTATTTTAATTCAGTTAATTGACACTATATATAGATTTTGAATTTATAATAAGACATGTTTCTGTGTGCTCTCACCCTGGTGGTTGTTGACGTGGCGCCGGTACTCCCTCAGCTGAGTGAACTTCCTGCCGCACTGCTCACACTCTCTCTCCAGGTTCTGCTTCACTCGCCCTTTCTTCCCGTGCGTGGCTTTCTTCACGTGTCGCCTGAACAACGCCTTCTCGAAGAACTCCTTCCCACACACGTTACACCTGAACACACACACACACACACACACACACACACTTTAATACCTGGGGAATATTCCTCAGAACAACTGATTCATTAAGAAGATAATTGAGTTCCAGGTCGCATTCACACCTGACCACAGTTTGTGACATGGTTTCATTTTTCAGAAGGTTCGGTTTGCGTTCGGGCAAAACTCAAACGGACTATAAACTTTAAACACAAGTCATGTGCACGGAAATGCTGTTCAACCATTGGTCAGACATTAAGGGGGTAAAAACGCAAATCCCGGCCATTTCTACCGGAGCCTCCGCCATGGAGCATCGGCACTTTCGGCAGGTTATTCTCATGCAGCTGTTAATCTGGAGATCAACAGACTCTAGCGGCCCGCGCATATGATTATATAATCAGACAACGTCCGTTAAAAAACATTATAACACATATAATGAGACGTTCTGCAGTCAGGAGGGCGTTTCACCGACGACAGGTGGCTCTGACTTGTATATAGTTGACGGAGAATTTTGACTTTACACGACACTGTTCAACACTTCATTCTGCTTCACTCTTTAACTAAACAACCGCGGATGTCTTGAAAGAGTCTTTCGCTAAAGATTTTGAAGACATCCGCGTTCTTGTGACTCGTAAATACTACGCTTCCTATGTTTTGGTTGGACTGCGTTCACACCAGCAATGATCCGCTCCAGAGTTCACTAGCAAGCGCTCCGAGACCACCTATTTTAGCGGACCAGAGTCCGGTTGTTTAGTTCACTTAAGAGGTCTCGGATTGCGTTCACACCGACCCAAACGGCTAAACGCACCAGGGTTCGATTCAAACGGCTGGTGTGAATCGACCTAAATCATCGTCTATGAACTACACATTTCTGGTATCTTGACATCCCTAACCCGAGACGCCTCGTTAACATTACTCTAATAAAATCTGCCCTCCTCCTTCTTCTTTGGTGGTGCTGGACTCACTTGAAGGGCTCGGCCACGCTGTGCGACTTCACGTGGGAGTACCAGTCCTTCTTCCAGCTGTAGCACTTCCCGCACACCTGGCACTGGAAGGGCTTCAGACCCATGTGTTTGTTCATGTGCTGCTGCAGGTCTTTGGCTTCGAAGAACCTCTTATCACAGCTGCAGGAGAACCACAGAGAACATTTTATATACAGCTGTTAGAAAATATCACTGGTCTCCGGCTTGAGCTTCAATATCTGGATCCATGTATCTGTGATCCTCTCCAGAATGGAAGGAGTCATCACATACAGAGCATCAACTAGTTCCTGAACAGTGTCCTTCACATGCTGATATCCAAGAGAGGGAGTTACACAGTCACAAGATGGAGGAATGCCGGTTCTTCTAGGTAATCATACATCCTGTCATCAACAAAATACTGAGCTTTTGACTATTTCTCAAAATTCTGTAGTTTTTCTCAAAATCTAAAAATTCTGTCTTTTTTCTCAAAATCTCCAAATTATGACTTTTTCTCAAAATCCTATCTTTTTTCTAAAAATCTCCAAATTATGACTTTTTCTAAAAATCTCCAAATTATGACTTTTTCTCAAAATCTCGAAATTCTGTCTTTTTCTCAAAATTCTGTATTTGTTCTCAAAATCAATTTTCTTTGACTTTTTACTTAAAATAAAAAAAGTATGACTTTTTACTCAAAATCTCTAAATTCTGACTTTTTTCTCAAAATCTCAAAACGCGGTGCTTGTGTCTATGTCTCTCCATAGAGGCTGAATCATCATGTTAATCACATAGCTCATCTGCCTCAAGCAGTCCTGATGCTCTTCTAGGTCATCACACATCCTGTCACGTTCACAGCTACAGTTGATACCTTTGTTATCACGTTGCTCTCATGTTGGAGAGGACATGCAAACGCAGAGACGAGAGACTCACTGTGCGCAGGCGAAGGGCCGCACGTCGGGGCGAGGCTGATGTTTCTTCAGATGTTTGCTCAGCGCTGAGGCTCGGTGGAACGTCGCTCCACACGTGTTGCACAGGTACTTGGATTCACCTGGGGCAAATAGGATGGAGGAAATACTTTCATTAAAATCAATCTCATATCCTACACCGTACACTTTTGTTCCATCTCATGGCTTTTTGATGACTTTAAGTATTTGATTATATTTAAATGTATTTGTTGGAGTGTTGCTTTGTTCCTTTCTTGTCAAAGGGTAAACGAGCCAAAGCTATTAGGCTCTCTCTCCAAATGAATTACTTCCTTAAGACAATACAAAATACAATTTCAAGAATGTTCAAAACTTCAAAACACCACACAACATTTTAAAACTTTTTTAAGGACATGCAGCACGTTTACAAAATGTGTCTCAATGATTGATTTTATGTTGAGAACTTACACTGCATTGTTACTTTTATACTTTTAGTTTAGTGTTGTATTTATTTCTGCTCTCTATTTTTAACAAAGATTCAATATGTGGGAGGCTGTGGCAGTGGGAGGCTGTGGCAGTGGGAGGCTGTGGCAGTGGGAGGCAGTGGGAGGTGTGGCAGTGGGAGGTGTGGCAGTGGAGGTGTGGCAGTGGGAGGTGTGGCAGTGGGAGGCTGTGGCAGTGGGAGGCTGTGGCTGTGGGAGGCTGTGGCAGTGGGAGGCTGTGGCAGTGGGAGGCTGTGGCTGTGGGAGGCTGTGGCAGTGGGAGGCTGTGGGAGGTGTGGCAGTGGGAGGCTGTGGCAGTGGGAGGCTGTGGCAGTGGGAGGCTGTGGCAGTGGGAGGTGTGGCAGTGGGAGGCTGTGGCAGTGGGAGGGCTGTGGCAGTGGGAGGCTGTGGCAGTGGGAGGCTGTGGCAGTGGGAGGCTGTGGGAGGTGTGGCAGTGGGAGGCTGTGGCAGTGGGAGGCTGTGGCAGTGGGAGGCTGTGGCAGTGGGAGGCTGTGGCAGTGGGAGCTGGGCTGGTGGGCAGTGGGAGGCTGTGGCAGTGGGAGGCTGTGGCAGTGGGAGGCTGTGGCAGTGGAGGCTGTGGCAGTGGGAGGCTGTGGCAGTGGGAGGCTGTGGCAGTGGGAGGCTGTGGCAGTGGGAGGCTGTGGCAGTGGGAGGCTGTGGCAGTGGGAGGCAGTGGGAGGTGTGGCAGTGGGAGGCTGTGGCAGTGGGAGGTGTGGCAGTGGGAGGCTGTGGCAGTGGGAGGTGTGGCAGTGGGAGGCTGTGGCAGTGGGAGGCTGTGGCAGTGGGAGGCTGTGGCAGTGGGAGGCTGTGGCAGTGGGAGGCTGTGGCAGTGGGAGGCTGTGGCAGTGGGAGGCTGTGGCAGTGGGAGGCTGTGGCAGTGGGAGGCTGAGGCAGTGGGAGGCTGAGGCAGTGGGAGGCTGAGGCAGTGGGAGGTGTGGCAGTGGGAGGTGTGGCAGTGGGAGGCTGTGGCAGTGGGAGGCTGTGGCAGTGGGAGGCTGTGGGACAGTGCGCTGATCTTCGGATCAGGCGAATCAATCAATGTTTATTTATAGCCCAATATCACAGTTACATTTGTCTCAGTGGTCTTCAGTTTGTACAGAATGACAGTATGGCAATACGACACCCTCTGTCCTTAGACCCTCTGTCCTTAGACCCTCTGTCCTTAGACCCGCTGTCCTTAGACCCTCTGTCTTTAGACCCACTGTCCTTAGACCCTCTGTCCTTAGACCCTCTGTCCTTAGACCCGCTGTCCTTAGACCCTCTGTCCTTAGACCCTCTGTCCTTAGACCCTCTGTCCTTAGACCCTCTGTCTTTAGACCCGCTGTCCTTAGACCCGCTGTCCTTAGACCCGCTGTCCTTAAACCCTCTGTCCTTAGACCCTCTGTCCTTAGACCCTTTGTCTTTAGACCCACTGTCCTTAGACCCTCTGTCCTTAGACCCTCTGTCCTTAGACCCGCGAAAACAAGTTCAAGTCCCGCTGCAGTCAGCATGTCGTTGTGTGAGACACGTCACCCCTTAAATCGCTCCTTCAGGATTGCTCACAGAACTGAATGTATGCAATTTGCTTTGGGTAAAAGCGTCTAACAAGTGACATGTAATATAATATACGGCTCATCTGGTCTTCAACCTTCCTAAATTCTCCCACACCACGCCGCTCCTCCGCTCCCTTCACTGGCTTCCGGTAACTGCTAGAATCCAATTCTAGACACTGGTGCTTGCGTACCGTGCTGCGAATGGATCTGGCCCTTCCTACATCCAGGACATGGTTAAACCGTACACCCCAGCGCGTGCACTCCGCTCTGCATCAGCCAAACGGCTCGCTGCACCCTCGCTGCGAGGGGGACCCAAGTTCCCATCAGCAAAAACACGTGGGTTTGCTATCCTGGCTCCAAAATGGTGGAATGAGCTCCCCATTGACATCAGGACAGCAGAAAGCTTGCAAACCTTCCGGGGGAGACTGAAAACTCTTCTCTTTCGACTCCACTTCGAGCGATAAGTGCGAAAGTGGCGTTGTCGGCAGGATTGGGTTTGAGAGCAGCTGTGGTAATCAGGAGCCTAGCTTGTATCATAGTTTTAGCACCATTTTTAAGCACATTTTAGTTTTTAACCATGATGATGCCTGTGTATCCCGGTGCCCCTTGGCTCCCTAAATTCAATGGGTCAGTGACTTAAAATACCAAGATTGGAAGGCACAAATGCAAGGTTTGTTGGCCTCACAAGAATTAGCTGAAGTTAGTAAAGTTGGTATTGTGTTGGGAGCGCTTGCTGGGGAAGCTAAACGCCAGGTGAGTGTCCTTGAGGACAATGAGAAGAATGAGGTCCGCCAGATATTTTGTTATTTAGATTCCCTTTATGGCGATAGAACCCCTACCCCAGTGTTGAGGTCACAATTCTTTAGCTCTTCACAGAAACCAAATGAGACGGAAACTGAGAGAGGCTGAAGGGCACAGCAGAGGCAGAGCGCACCAGGAGCAGAGGCACACGCAACAAAGGGATTAAAAGACACGGCAGTCCAAGAGAGGGTCGACGGAGCACCTTTACAGCCCTGGAAAGACTGGTTTTGAGAAAAGACTTTTAACCCTTTTAACATTTGAATTCTTTGTATTGTTTTAACTACGTTTAATTGTATTTTAACATCGTTTTAGACTATCTTTTTACTGAGATTATATTTTAGACAGCGCTGATTTTAGTTTTCTTAGTAAAGATTTTATGTTCTACTGAATAAATTATTGTGTTTTAAACTTAGTAGTTGGCTCCTTGATTACCCAGTTTTGCTCTCCACCTGATTTAAAAGAACTAACCCTAACCCAAAGCACTTATATACTGATAAAGGACTGGCTTATCTAAAGCCAGTTGAGTAGCACTTGAAATGTTTGGCTCTATGAAACCTGATGTACTTTATGATTCTGTTTTCTTCAAGGTTGTATTTTGTTGGTCGAACGCACTTATTGTAAGTCGCTTTGGATAAAAGCGTCCGCTAAATGTAATGTAAAGTCAACACCAAAAAAAACGTTTGATTAAGCTTCGTTTTAAGTGATTTTCCAGGAGACAATGTAGAGACAGAGATCTCATAACTTGGACGAATGAAACTGAAACCATCTCATATTTCTGCTGATATATTAATAATACATGTTATTTATATAGCGTTTTTCCTGGTGCTCAAATCGCTAAGCTACGTGGAATAAGGGCGAGGGTTGAGAGGATTAGGAGTTGAAGGCAAGAGTGAAAAGGTGAGTTTTGAGGGATTGTTTGAATGACGTCACAGTGTTGGGAAATAATATATAAATAAATATACGCAGTAAACACAGAGCTGAATCCAGATCAAATGCACGCTGAAGGGTTTCTCTCACTATGTTAAATGTTTGTTTTTCATGTACTGAGTCTTGATATTTGTCAGTCGGTCTTAGATGGAGCTGCTGTGATGCAAGTCACACTTCAGACTGGAGCTGACAAATAGAGTATCGTATCGTGAACACTCTGACCTGTGTGCAGGCTGGTGTGCTCCTCCATGCTCCTCTTGCTGACGAAGGACTTCATGCAGAACTCGCACTGGAACTGCTTGGTGACGTCGTGCAGCGTGCGGTGCATCTTCAGGCTGTGCTTGTGGGCGAACGTCTTCCCGCACACCTTGCAGGAATGCGGTCGAACGCCGGTGTGGTTCAACATGTGGATCCTCAGCGAGTACAGTTTGGGGAGGGTCTTCCCACAGATGTCGCACACGAACTCCCTCTTGGTGTTGGGACTCTGGGTCTTGTCCTCCAGGTCGCTGTCGCCCCCCGCCCTCTCAGCAGGGGGCTCCACGGGGGGCTTTATGACCGGAGCGCGCTGGCTGCTCTGCTGCTTGTGTCGGGCCAGGTGAGCGCGCAGAGAGGCGGCGTACTGGAACTCCTTACTGCACAACTACAGGAGACACAACAACATGTTTACATCCCATAATCAAACTAAATAAATATTAATAACGTTTTTTTTTTTTAAAAGGAAAAAAATCCATAAAAACAGAATAAAAAATAAAAATATTTATATAAGCATAAAAAGTTTAGGTAAAATGTTCAATAAAATATAAAAAATATATTTATACAAACATTAGAAGTTAAAGTAAGATGTATATTACTAATAATAATAATAATAATAATTAGATTAAAGAATAACTTAAGATAAAAAAGATTAATGATATAATAAAACAAAACAATATATCGAAATATTGCTATCTAATTATATAACTAGTAGAATATTAAAGGTCGCCTATCATGCAATATGCACTTGTTGATGTCTTCTCTCCATCAACATGTGTCCCCGGTGTGTCGGGGAACTCACGCAGCGTCAGAAAATAAAACCCTCTCTCTTTTCCTCCGTACCCAAATCTCTAAAAACGGGGAACAACGGAGCTGATCCAGATTTGCGTCCGATATGACGTAATATCTGAAATGTGGACCCACGGCCCAATCAGAAACGTTGCTATCAGAAACAATGCCCGACTGTTTTGGACGTAATATGGTCGGTGTTTACATTAGCATCGCTAACACTCAGAGCTAACCTGTACTGGAGAGCATGTGTGTGAAGAAGCAGGAAGTAAAAAGGAACTCACCTTGTGGTATAACCGGCAAGAGAGAAAGCCTTTGAGCTCCAGACTGTTTCAGAGAGAATCCTTGATAATCCATGATATGGCGTTTCATCACGGCAGCATTTAGTTTAGACAGTAGCTGCCGGGTCCCGCATGAGCTCAGACCCTCCTTTTTTAATTGTTATACATTTTTTAATTCTTTATACCCAAAATCAGCACTTTTGAAACAGGAAGTGAAATAGAGGGATATGAGGCATGGCTAGAATGGGTGATATTTTTGGTATTTTGAGCAAAACACTTCATAGACATGTTTTGTAATATTTGTATATATCTGAGACTTATGCTATTGCCTAAAAATAGCATGATAGGTGCACTTTAAATAAAATCAGTCATAATTTAAATAATAACCTTAGTAATCCTCCTAAAGTACTCACGCTGCACTTGTACCCGCGGGCCTTCTCGTGTTTGAGCGTGTGCATGATGAGGGCGTAGCGTCTCTGGAACGACGCGCCACACTCGGAGCAGCTGTGCTCTCCGTCAGCTGCTTTCTGCTCCGGCTTCGTCCCCACGCTCTCTGGCTCCGCCTCCTTCTCCCCGGCCTCCTCTGTGATTGGCTCTCGGGTCGGCGTCTCGCTCTCCGTGGCGCTGACCTGTGGCTCCGCCCCCTCCTCAGACACACACTGAGCTCCTTCATCCTGCTGAGGATCCACCGGGTGCTTTGGAGGTCTCCCTCTCTTCCCGGGCCTCAAAACCACCTGGAAACACAACCACGGTTAATAAATCTACACGTTACCTTCTTTAAACAGGGTCTATGCAGGAATCCTGAAGTCAAATGTAAAACCCTTTAAGACCTTTTTTAAGACCCTTTCCATACATTTTAAGACCTCATCGCCACTTGGAGTTTTAACCGGTTACCTTAGCGACACACGTTACATTGCATTTAGCTGACGCTTTTATCCAAAGCGACTTACAATAAGTACATTCGACCAGGAAGACACAACCTTGAAGAAAACAGAATCATATAAGTACATCAGGTTTCATAGAGCCAAACATTTCAAGTGCTACTCAACTGGCTTTAGGTAAGCCAGTCCTTTATTAGTATATAAGTTATTTGTTAGTAATTCTATCGCTCGAAGTGGAGTCGAAAGAGATGAGTTTTCAGTCTCCCCCGGAAGGTGTGTAAGCTTTCTGCTGTCCTGATGTCAATGGGGAGCTCATTCCACCATCTTGGAGCCAGGATAGCAAACCCACGTGTTTTTGCTGATGGGAACTTGGGTCCCCCTCGCAGCGAGGGTGCAGCGAGTCGTTTGGCTGATGCAGAGCGTAGTGCACGCGCTGGGGTGTACAGTTTAACCATGTCCTGGATGTAGGAAGGGCCAGATCCATTCGCAGCATGGTAAGCAAGTACCAGTGACTTGAAGTGGATTCTAGCAGTTACCGGAAGCCAGTGAAGGGAGCGGAGGAGCGGAGTGGTGTGGGAAAATGTAGGAAGGTTGAAGACCAGACGAGCCGCTGCATTCTGGGTGAGCTGCAGAGGTCGGATGGCACATGCAGGTAGACCAGCCAGGAGGGAGTTGCAGTAGTCTAGGCGTGAGATGACGAGAGCCTGGACCAGAACCTGCGTCGCTTTCTGTGTCAGCTGGGGACGTATCCTCCTGATGTTGTAAAGCGTGTATCTGCAGCAACGGGTTGCAGCAGCGATGTTTGCAGTGAAGGACAGGTTGTTATCTAGGGTCACACCCAGATTCCTTGCAGTCTGAGTCAGCGAAACAACACAGGTGCCGATGTTGATAGTCAGATCAAGAGTGGGACAATCTTTTCCCGGAAGGAAAAGCAGCTCAGTCTTGTCAAGGTTGAGCTTGAGGTGATGAGCAGACATCCACTGAGAGATGTCAGCTAGACAAGCAGAGATGCGTGCGACGACCTGGGTCTCTGAGCGGGGAAAGGACAGAATTAATTGGGTGTCGTCAGCGTAGCAGTGGTATGAAAAACCATGCGGGCTAATGACTGATCCGAGCGAGTTTGTGTACAGGGAGAAGAGGAGGGGACCAAGAACAGAGCCCTGAGGGACCCCTGTAGTTAATTGACAAGGGTCGGACTCAGACCCTCTCCAAGTTACCCTGTAGGTACGGTCTTTGAGGTATGAGGTGAGGAGGGAAAGTGCAGAGCCTGAAACTCCAAGTTCTTGGAGAGTGTGAAGGAGGATCTGATGGTTCACCGTGTCGAATGCAGCAGACAGGTCCAACAGGATGATGACAGAGGAGAGGGATGCAGTTTTGGCAGTGTGCAGTTCCTCAGTGACAGCAATGAGAGCAGTTTCTGTGGAGTGACCTGCCTTGAAACCAGACTGGTGCGGATCCAGAAGGTTGTTCTGATGGAGATAACAGGAGAGTTGTTTAAAGACAGCGCGTTCAAGTGTTTTAGACAGGAACGGGAGTAGAGAGACAGGCCTGTAGTTTATAACATCAGACGGGTTGAGAGTAGGTTTCTTTAGGAGAGGGTTTACTCTTGCCTCCTTGAGACTGTTTGGAAAGTGACCAGAAGTTAGAGAAGTGTTGATGAAATGGGTGAGAAACGGTAGAATATCAGGAGCGATAGTCTGAAGGGATGGGGTCCAGAGGACAGGTGGTAGGGCGGGCAGAGGTAATGAGGGTAAGAACCTCACTTGGAGAGAGAGGGGAAAAGGAGGTTAGTGTGTTGGTGGAAGGAGGGTCTGGTGACCCAGCGGTGAGTAAATGTGAGTCAGAAAAAGAAGAGCGAATATCATCAACCTTTTTTTCAAAGTGGGTAACAAAGTCGCTTGACAGAAGGGGGGAGGGGCTTTGGAGGGTCCAAGAGGGTGGAGAAGATGGAAAATAGTTTTTTGGGATTGGAATAGGAAGATTGGATCTTATCTTGAAAGAAAGTGCTTTTTGCCTGAGAGATCGAAGCAGAGAAAGAGGAGAGGAGAGCCTGATAGGTTAGGAGGTCGTCACGGTGTTTGGATTTCCACCGTTTCCGCTCTGCTGCCCGAAGGACGGTTCCATTAACACGCAGTGCATCATTTAGCCAGGGAGCAGGAGGGGACTGACGAGTCTGCCGAGATGTGAGAGGACAGAGAGAGTCCAGAGAGGATGAGAGAGTAGAGAGGAGAGTTTCTGCAGCAGAGTTTGGAGGCAGGAGTTGGAACGAGTCAGATGAAGGGAGGGCTGAGAGCACCGATGAGGCAAAGGTAGAGGGGGAGAGGGAACGAAGGTTACGGCGGACAGGTGGAGGATGAGAAGAGATTAGTTTGTTATGTTTGGAAAGGGGTAGAGAGAATGAAATGAAGAAGTGATCGGATGTGTGGAGCGGGTTTACAGAGAGGTTAGAAGTTGCGCAGTTCCTTGAGAATATGAGATCAAGGACATTGCCAGCTTTATGAGTTGGTGGGGAAGGAGACAGTGAGAAAGCAAAGGCGGTTAACAGAGATGTTAGCTCGTCTATCTTCCCTGTCTGGAGGTTGAAGTCTCCGAGAAGTACAGCGGGAGGACCAGTTTCAGGGATGTGTGAGAGGAGATGATCTAATTCCTCCAAGAAGTCCCCCAAGGCGCCTGGTGGACGGTAGAGAACAACAATGGTTAACTGTATAGGATGGGTTACTGTGACGGCATGGAATTCAAAGGTGGAAGGAGTGAAGTTAGGTAGCTTGAAGAGGGAAAAGCTCCATTTGGGAGAGAGCAGGAGACCAGTGCCACCTCCTCTGCCAGTGGGTCTGGGTATATGGGAGAAGGAATATGCTGTGGAGAGAGCTGTTGGGGTGGATGTGTTGAATGGAGTAATCTAGGTCTCAGTGAGAGCAAGGAAATCCAGAGACTGCAGGGAGGCGTAGCCAGAGATGAAGTCAGCCTTAGGAACAGCTTACTGGCAGTTCCACAGGCCACCTGAAACTAGATGTTGGATCTCAGTGGAGCATGTGGGATAGATGAGAGCAGGCCGGTTATATCGATTACGAGATATACGGGGCCAGTGATAATTGCGAGAAGACACATGAACAGGAATGGAGAAAATACACATGATTATAGCCTGAGGGGCTAGAAAACGAAAGAAAAGAAAAATAAGACACCAGCGGTAATTAGCTGAATCAGAGTAGGATTTGCCTCTTCTTTGCCTCCCTCGTGACTCCAGCAGGACTCCAATGTCTTTGTCAGTCTTACTCCAGCAGGACTCCAATGTCTTTGTCAGTCTTCGGCTGTCTGACGCTGACACTTTACCTCACATTGACTATATACAGTATTGATTGTCCTTCCTCCTTATCGTCCAACCATTTGGACGCAGACTTGCATTTGCATTTCTCTCGGCTTGAGGAGATTAAAACGCAAAACGATTCATTAAAACAATTAAATAGTATGTTTTGGCTGTTTGAAAACTTTCCAAACCAATTTGCTTTCAAGCCAAACACGAGACTTCTTTAATTTTAAATTCCATAATTGGTCATAAGGCTAAATGCCGATCCAGCTGTTTTGCATTAGACCAAAATGGGTTTTAGGACCCGAAACAAAACGTAATTCGCCCCAACTGTAGACAACACCAGTGTGTCTTTCCAAACCAGGTTTCTCAACATAATGCAGTGCTTTTAGGTGCCGCTTACACGAGGACAAAACGGGTTGTATCTGCTACTTTTCTCTCTTGTATAGCCCGTTCGTTCACACGAGGCCGACACGTAAACGCGGAAACGGACCCCGCAAACGATAACGGGTCCCAAGGTGGATAGATCTGCAAACGGAACGCTCTACGATCATTTCCTGATAACGATGAAATAGCCCCGCCTCCCTCTCCCCACGTCTCCCTCTCCCCACGCCTCCCTCTCCCCACGTCTCCCTCTCCCTCTCCCCACGCCTCCCTCTCCCCACGCCTCCCTCTCCCCACGCTCAGAGATCAGCTGCTGGGCTGCCAGAAGAGGGGGAGGAAAAGAGAGGCTCCGTTTATTATTCTTATATTATTCTTATATAGAGTCGTTATCAATTTGTTTTAAAGCTCAATAAATAACAAAGAAGACCTCTGACCGGCACTTTTCCAATTTTGTCCGAAAGATTTAAACTTTATGTTGACCGGCAGTAAAAAATGTTAACTGAAACTCTGCCGCGCGGTTCCCTCGTCCCTTGGAAGAGGCGGAGAGGTGGGTGTTTCTCATCTGCTGGTGGACTACCGGAGAGATTTACAGCAGGAGCACACGACGTCCACCGCGGAGAATAAACAGAAGGGCAACCATGGCAACCATGCTCCGGGGTCTTCTTCGCTGCTTTTGGTGTATGTTGTGGCGGCAGCAGCGCCACTTACAGGCCCAGCATATGTACTACAGCGTTTCCAGCAGTCTCGTTTGAACTGACACGTTAATTGAGCCGAATGCGTGTGAACAGAAGACTTTTTTGAAAACGAATTCGGTGCATAAACGTACTCGTTTCGCCCTCGTTTAAATGGGGCCTTAGCGAGCAGTTTCATGTAGGAACTACTTTCTTGCTAATAAGAACTACACCTGTAACCCGTCTGTATCACTGAGCAGAAGGAAGCGTGCATCCAGTCATTGGTTGAGAGTAGAATTAAGTTATAAACTGATGGATGTATCTCACACGTGTTACACAGTGATGTAATTATGTTACGGAAGTAAACAAAGGAGTCCAATGGATGTGTTTCAGGGAGGAGGGGAGTGTGTGGGAGAGAGACTCCCTCTGGCGGGAACACAGGGATTTTAGCCTTTGCAGACCATTAACATGCACTAAATCCTATATAACACACTACAGGAAAGGGAACATTCAGCTCTTATTAAGCCAACGTAAGTCCTTATCATAACTACAAAATTGTCATTAAATATCATAATATTATATTAAAGTTTTAAACCTTTGAAATGCAAGTACCACCATTCCGTTTCTGAGTATCGAATGCTACGGGATTTTTTGTTTTCTCATTTTGTGATATGTCAATGACTAATGACTTATTTATGACAAAAACATTGATTTTGATGCATTTTTGATGCAGGAAAACAAGAAAATAGCACGTATCTGTTCAATACTAAATTAAATGAGGACCACAGATGGAAATTAGCTATTAGCTATAATCTGGCATATTGCATATCTTCTCTTTGCTGAGATTAATGTTTTTTTATGCATGGTCCTTCTATAAATAAATACAAATACGTACTGTTATGACTGTGGGATCCAGGTTTTACTAAGACCTATAGAAAAAGGAAAAACCCCAAAAAGCCCTTTTGTACCTTTGGGGTTGTGGGTCGTGGGGGTGTTGAGGCTTTCTTCCCCTCCTCCTCCTCCTCCAGGCCCATGTGTAGTCGAGCGTACCCGCCCTCAGCGATGGAGCGCTGCCTCAGCCTCCTCCTGGTGGGCTCGTCTGACTCCAGTTTCTCTCCGTTGTTCTCATCGTCCTCCAGCGTATCTTCCTCCTCCAGCGGCGCCAGCTCCTCCACCTCCTCCAACACCTCCTCCTTCTTCACTTTAGCCGGACGTCCTCTCTTTCGTTTCTGCGGTGTCGGCGGCGCTGCTGCTTCTGGTGCTTCTTCCACCTGAGGAGAAGCCTAATTAAGTTAAGCAGGTTCCTTTTAAAATGTTACACACAATATATCCAGCTCAAAAGACACTGCATCCCTAATTGCTAGGCGACTTGTACTTATGAAGTGGAAGCAGGAGGCGTCTGCCACTCATGTCCAGTGGGTGACAGAGCTTAAGAAGTTTCTACACAAGGAGAAAATAAAGTGTGCTTTGGGTGGCTCCACAACCATTTTGAACGTACATGGAAAGTTTGAAACGGTGTACTCTTCCCTAACTGATTCATCATTTTATTTATTTTAACTGAATTACAACATAGAGTACTATAGTCAACCATGACTAACATTTATCTAAAACTTGTTATGTGTTTTTTTATTGTTGTTGTTTTGTGTGCTGTGATTTCAACCATCTGTTTGTCTGTCATTTTTAAATGTTTTTGTACTATTAATCTTGTCTTATTCTGTAGGGGGGTTAAAAAAAAAAATGGACAACCTGCACACCTGTTTTTTTTGTCTTTGACACTGTATGTGTTGATTTATTTTAGAAATGCGTGTTTTGTAGAATGTTTTATTAGAAGAAAGACGGGACAAAAGGTCCAACTGCAGAATAGAAAGACATTCTCATGTACTTCAGGGCTGAGAGTATGGACGCAGATTTTGTCTTTTTTGTGCAGTTAAAGGTGGGGTAGGTAATTCACTTCAGAAACACTTGTTATATTCCATGGAGTGCTCTTAACATCCCGATAGCAATGAATACATTAAATGCTTTGACAATAAATACATTAAAAAAAGTCATCTGTGGAAGCCGTGGCGCTGTAAAAAGCACGACCAATCATTTTAGCCGGCCCGGCTAAAGTAACTGGATGGCCTACCTGCCTGTCAGCCTTCCATCTGGGCACAAACTTACCTCGTGCCCTCATTGGTCATGTGCACGTTCGTGTGTGTTGGAGGAGGGGCTCTGTAAGGAAGTGGCAGATTTGTTCCGGCTGTGTATTTTCAAATTCTAGCGCACTCGAGCTGGTTTCTCCAAAATTACCTACTCCACCTTTAAGTTGTATTATTAGGGAAATTTCATATCCATAAAAAGAAATGGGCTGACTCCAAACCACATTTGTATCAACAGTTTAAACAATATATTAGCACTATTAAAAACATTAGGAATAAGAAGGCAATCGAAACTAATTTGATATTTAACAAATATTTAATCTGAAGTATCAAAATGTATTTTTCTTTCCTTTATGTAATGTCTGAGGGTTTTCAGTCTGTGGCTATAAGTATGGTTTGATTGTCTCGTGCTTTAACATTAGTTTATTTTTGTCCTATTGGTTTTGTCTAAATGGGACGAAGCCTGCGAGCTACTTCAGGCAGTCAACTCGAGCACTTCGAGCATTCATTACATTACATGTCACTTATCCAAAGCGACTGACATACTCAATACTGTGGGCAATCCCCACAGGAGCAATTTGGGGCGAAGTGTCTCAGGGACACAACGACATGCTGACTGCAGTGGGGTTTGAACCTGTGCCCCCCTGATCCCAACACCAAGGCTCTACATTCATACATAACGCCCCTTGCTGCCCCACCACCACCCCAGCTTCCACCCCAACTACCACCCCAGCTTCCACCCCAGCTTCACCCCAGCTTCCACCCCAGCTTCCACCCCATCTACCACCCCAACTACCACCCCAGCTTCACCCCAGCTTCCACCCCAGCTTCCCCCCCAGCTTCCACCCCAGCTTCCACCCCAGCTTCCACCCCAGCTTCACCCCAGCTTCCACCCCAGCTTCCACCCCAGCTTCCACCCCAGCTTCACCCCAGCTTCCACCCCAGCTTCCACCCCAGCTTCCACCCCAGCTTCCACCCCAGCTTCCACCCCCAGCTACCACCCCAACTACCACCCCAGCTACCACCCCAGCTTCACCCCAGCTTCCACCCAGCTTCCACCCCAGCTTCCACCCCAGCTTCACCCCAACTACCACCCCAGCTTCACCCCAGCTTCCACCCCCAGCTTCACCCCAACTACCACCCCAGCTTCACCCCAGCTTCCACCCCAGCTTCACCCCAACTACCACCCCAGCTTCACCCCAGCTTCCACCCCAGCTTCCACCCCAGCTTCCACCCCAGCTTCACCCCAACTACCACCCCAGCTTCACCCCAGCTTCCACCCCAGCTTCCACCCCAGCATCCACCCCAGCTTCCACCCCAGCTACCACCCCAGCTTCCACCCCAGCTACCACCCCAGCTTCCACCCCAGCTACCACCCCAGCTACCACCCCAGCTTCCACCCCAGCTACCACCCCAACTACCACCCCAGCTACCACCCCAGCTACCACCCCAACTACCACCCCAGCTCCACCCCAGCTTCCACCCCAGCTTCACCCCAGCTTCCACCCCAGCTTCACCCCAGCTTCCACCCCAACTACCACCCCAGCTACCACCCCAACTACCACCCCAGCTCCACCCCAGCTTCACCCCAGCTTCCACCCCAGCTTCACCCCAGCTTCCACCCCAGCTTCCACCCCAACTACCACCCCAGCTTCACCCCAACTACCACCCCAGCTTCACCCCAGCTCCACCCCAGCTTCACCCCAACTACCACCCCAGCTTCACCCCAGCTCCACCCCAGCTTCACCCCAGCTACCACCCCAGCTACCACCCCAACTACCACCCCAGCTTCACCCCAGCTCCACCCCAGCTTCACCCCAGCTTCCACCCCAGCTACCACCCCAGCTTCCACCCCAGCTTCCACCTGCAGGCTCGGGGGGGGTTAGTTATTTAATCATCACTCATCGTGCTATGTATATCTGTGGAGTGATGAGGCCCGAGCCTAGACGCCAAACTCACCTATATGCTGCTTCTAATAAACATTGTTTAGTTGTCCGACTGAAATGTATTTATGCTGCTTTTTTATATACAGGGTTCATACACTTTTTCACCAATGATTTTCAATGACTTCTCCATGACCTTTACCTAACTTTCCATGACCAAAAAATTACTCTCAGCGGTTCCACTGAAAATGGTTTATTTTAACATGGAACAGGAAATAAGGTCTGCATCTGAAACATGTTGCCTATCTGAAACAAATCACATAGGCTTACTAGCTTCACGCTAAAGCAACTCAAATCTCTCACCAGCAAAACACCTCGTCAGTTAAAAGCCATTTTACGTTTCATTACTATACGATACAGTATTTATTATCATTATAGTATTACTATTTCGGCAATTAGATAAAATATAAATTATATTTGATGCAACTTTAGTTACATTTCCATGACTTTTCCAACACTTTGGGAAAAATATTGTTTTCCAAAACTTTTCCAGGGCCTGGAATTAGCAATTTGAATTTCCATGACTTTTCCAGGTTTTTAATGACCGTAAGAACCCTGTATATATCTATTGATGTACAGCACTTTGGTGTTTTTAAATGTGCTATATGTATATTTTACATTGGCTTTTATGTCCAGTACTTGAGATGTGTGTGTTCTGTTTTTACGTTTGTTCCTTTCAGGACCCTACGTGGTCTCTCTTTTGTTTTTATGTTTGTTCCTTTCAGGACCCTACGTGGTCTCTCTTTTGTTTTTATGTTAACCTTAACATGTTGTTATTGTATTCATATTTCTGTGGTCTTCATTTGAACTTTTGTTCTTTCTTGTGAAGCACTTTGTGAATTCTATTTCTGTGAAAGGTGCTATACTAAATAAATATATTATTATTATTATATAAGTAAAGTTGGATTGAATTGGATTGTTGCTTTGTATGTCTGCCCCTGGACTTTGTCTGATGTATGTCAAATGTATGATGTTCATGTATAACATTGAATAGATGAATACAAAAATAAAATAAAAACCTGAGGAGACGTCGTCGGGGAGGAAGAAGAAAGTTTGACGTCCTCCGAGAGGCTCATTTTGTCCGGGTCGACGTTTATGACGAACCCCACGGTAGCTTCAGCGTTTTGAGGCTCCTCCTCCATCGCCAAACATGCCGAAACCACCGCTAAACTCTCGCTAGCCCCCGCCTGCCCGCTGTGAGTCACCACCGTCATCGTGTCCCCTTCCTCTGCACCGCGGGAAATCAACGTCATGGTCTCCCCTGCTTCCAGCTGTTCACTGTTAGCGATCAGAGCCACGTTTTCTGATTCTCCCGCCTCCATCGCCATCTGATCCTCTCCCCCTTCAGCGACCTCCATCTGTGGGACGAACCCCTCCTCCGCCGCTGAAACGAACGCTAAAGGCTCTCCGCCATTTTGTGTCACCACCGCACTGCCGTCGCTCTCGATGGTGACCACGAAGCCCTCGTCCTTAGAGCAAGGCAAGGCACGTTTATTTATAAAGCACTTTTCAACACGAGGCAATTCAAAGTGCTTTACAAAAATGAAAGACATTAAGAGCATAAAACACATTAGAAACATTAAAAAGCAAAGATAATAAAACAGTTTCATCCCACAGGCCATAAGAATGAGAAACACCTGAACTTCTGAAAGAACATTCATCTGTTTGCAACTTATATATATATATATATCAATATTCCAATTACTGTATAGATATATAGATAGATTCAACTTATTGTCATAACACTGTACAGGTACCATGTAACGAAACGGTTTCTCTGCATTTGACCCATCCTAGTGTTAGGAGCAGTGGGCTGCCATTATGTACGGCGCCCGGGGAGCAGTGTAGGGAACGGTGCCTTGCTCAGGGACACCTCGGTAGCACTTGGTCTTTCCGGGACTTGAACTGGTGACCTTCCAGTTGCCAAGCCAATATATATATATAGACTATTCTGCACAGTTTCTATTATATTCTGTTTCTATTTGTATCTGTTGTATTGTGTTGCACTGTTGGAGGAGCCTGTGACCTAAAATGTTCATTGTCATAACTACACAGTAGCTATGATCACATGTCAATGAAAGCCTTGAAACCATAAAACATGAATAGTTACGGTGCAGTGTAAGATGTCAATAGTTCAATTAAAACCAGCGGCAAAAGTCTTCAGCCTGGTTTCTGTTAGTTTGTTCCAGATATTTCACAATATCCCTAACCAAATTATCACATTCCTCTACCCCTAGTCTCCCCATGAAATTATAGTTAAAATCTCAAAATTCTGACTTTTTTTCTCCAAATCTCAAAATGTTGACTTTTTTCTCAAAATCTAAAAATTCTGACTTTTTTTCTAAAAATTCTGTCTTTTTTTTCAAAATTAATGATAGCTATGTGATTAAATTAATTAATCACATAGCTATCATATGCCTAAAACAGTCCTGATGCTCTTCTAGGTAATCATACATCCTGTCATGCACACAGCTACAGTTGGGATACCTTTGTTATCATGTGACTCTGAGATTGGAAGAGGACATTCAGTATTTTCCCAACACTAACCTTCTTAGAGCCGTCCTGATTGGCCGGCAGCATGGACACCACGGTGTGAACGTCTCCCCTCTGGTA